ACAGCGTTATAACATGTTATAGCGAGAAGAGTTCCCGGGGCTGCCGGGTGGATTGCCTGGGTGTCGGGGAGTGTGGCAGGTGCAATGGAGACATGCTGGTAGTAAGGTCGTAATCTGTTCAGTCTATTCAAAAAGGAAGGAGGATATAAAACCGGGGAAATGAGAAAGGAGGAGGAGGAGGCAACCGGGAAATGATCCGACTAGTGCGGTGATTGGAGCATGCTGTGACTGACAGCGTTATAACATGTTATAGCGAGAAGAGTTCCCGGGGCTGCCGGGTGGATTGCCTGGGCGTCGGGGAGTGTGGCAGCGCCGGAGACTTGGCTGCGTTTGCTGCAGTGGCGAGCTCCGGCGCTGCACAGGTTTAAATCCCGTTTTGCCATTTGGTGGGTGGCCCAGCCCTGTGTCCCCATCATATGGCGGCAGCAGGAGAGTTTGGGAGAACACAGGCAGCTTAGCTAAAGGAACTTCCCCCGCTCAGGGCAGCACAGGCCCCGTGGTGTGGAGCGGGTAGTGCCAGGGAGCAGGTAAAGCCCATACCCTGCCTGTTTTCCCCTCCATGTTCCAAAGGGGGTCCCACTTAACAAGGGTTTTATGAGCAGCAAGTAAAGGATCTGCCTCTCCTCTACATCAGCGCCGCTCCCAAGAAGCAGCAGGTTCTTATCTCGTCCTCCTTCCCTTTTTATTTTTCCCAAGCTTTATTTCAGTTCCTTATTTTAAAATGCTGGCACCAGAGCAGATTCGAACCATCACCTCCATTTTAGGGAGATGTAGTCCTCCCCCAGCATCAGTGAATTGTAGACGCGCAAAGACTTGCCCGCTACTGGTGCTGGGAGCCGTGCAAGCAGGTGACTAAGCCGAGTGTCTGGGATGCGGGAGCCAGCTGCCAGACCAGGGAATGGTGGAGTGTGGAGAAGAGAAGGAGTGCTGTAGCCGAGTCAGCCCTCCAGCCGGGGTGAGAGCTGGGTTGTTGAGTTTGCCTGCAACAAGGCTGCGCGCCCACACTGCTTCTCTAGTGGGACACCTGTTCTGGAGGTGGGGGGCACGTTCCCCCCCCCCGCACAAAGCTCTGGGATGCCCTGGGAGCCCGACCTTGCTGTGATGCTGGGGAGGGCCAGGCTCTGCCCAGGCTCTTGGTGCCTTTCTGAAGGGGCCTCTAGACCCAAAGGGAGCCAGAGAGCCCTTCGGTGTGTCATTAAAGCTGGATTTGCCCAAGCTGTGTCTAGGGAGGCAGGCCCGTTTCACCCTATCAGATGGGAAGCAGGATTGCTCCGTCTGTTAGCTGTGTTGCTCTGTGTGTTTAGGACAGGCCTCCCTGCCCTCATCTCATCCAGAGCATCTCCCTCTTCGTTTCCCTCGTCCTCCATTACCTCACCCCGCAGGCATCCTTTCGAGATGCACCGGGCTTCCTCCTTCTCCCTCCTTTAATATTTTTCTTCTTCTTCAATCTGGTGCGGTACTCTCCATCTCGCCTGCAAAGCACAAAGCCGCTCTTTCTCCCATTCATTCCTCCGGACCGGGGTTAGCATTTCAGTTGACAATTGTGCCATTGACTTGTGCGCTGACGGTGAGGTTTGCAGTAAATGCCAGGCAAAGGGACTTGGCGGGGTTAGCGAGGCTCTGGAAATGAGCCCTGTGTCTTCCGAAGCTCCGGACTTGATTTCGGAGGGAGGGTGGTAGCAAGGTCGTGCCTTCCCCCTTCCCGGGGGGCGAGCCTTTCTTTGTATTGTCAAAAGCAGCCTTGGACTTGCTAGGAGAGGCATGTCCCCTTCTTTGGGGACATAGTGTGGGCCATTAGATGCCCTCTGCCTTGTCATCCCTGGCTCTTGAAGCCATTTACACCCCAGGCTCCTGGTCTGGGGGTGCAGGGCAGCTCCCCCCAGTCCTGCCGGATGAGAAGCAGAGGCGAAGGGGATCAAACCGCTTGCCTAAGCCGAGCTGTTTAAGGCAGAGCCGGGGCTGAAGGCCAGCTTTGCAGGTCAGCCAGAGGGCTGATGCGGAGGCAGAGGGACTCCGGTACTCGCTCACGGAAACACCTTTAAGAGGCTCCCTTCCAGATCAAGTTAAATCAGCGCTGGAGCCGCAAACACGCTTCTGGGCCCTGGCTAGCAGAGCTGTTTACTCTCAGCTTAGTGATTCAGTGCAGTCCCCGGGGAGCAGTAGGATAAATAATACGTTGGCGCCAACCAAATTATTGTTTTGGGCTTGTTTGTTTCTGGCTGTTTGGAGAGAAGTGTGTCCTTGCAGGTTGGCACGGCTCTCGGAACTGAGCTTAAGAAAGAGGCAGTGTTGTGAAAAAGCCTCAAAACGAAACCGAAGGAGCACGTGGGGCTGAAGTGCGCAAAAGGGTGAGATGGAGGAAGAGGAGTGGGGAATGGCTGCAGGTGTATATTTTCCTGGATTAGCAGCAAATTTAGGGGCCAGGCTGGAGGTTTAAAAACAAGAGCAAAGTTTGCTGAAGTCTGGCCAGACCTGCTTGCGACATGTTGGTGATGGGTTGTGCTGGCAGCGGTAGCTGGGTAGGGGAGAAGGGCTTTAGGGGCTCCCGTGTGCGTGGGCTGTTGCCTGCCTGCTCCGCAGGTTGGGCCAAGAGGGAGATTTTGAGGACTGCTGGGAAGGGGGCTGGTGAAAAGGGGATCAGTCCTCTCCTTCCCGGCAGGCATAGACTGAGTCTGTGGCTGGTGCTGTGCCCGGGCTAGCTGGCATGCTCGGCTGGCATCCTGCTTGTAGGGCCACTTAGGCAAATGAGTTGCAGAGTCACTCTGAAAAGACTTGACGCCAGCTTCTCCAGCAGGCAAAGCACATGCTCAGGGAGGGGACGGGGAGCAGGCAGGGACTGTCATCCAGCTGGGCTTTCCTGGCTGGGGGTCCCTGCCTGCCGAATCCCCCCCCCTGCTGCCATGCAGCCCCACGGCCTCCATCCCACGGTGCAAGGGAAGGGCAGCCGAGGTGATGCGTCGGCCAGCGGGGCTTTCCTGGGTGTGGGGTCCTGACTGCCGAATCCCCCCCCCCTGCTGCCATGCAGCCCCACGGCCTCCATCCCACGGTGCAAGGGAAGGGCAGCCCAGAGGTGATGCGTTAGCGAGAAGCGGCAGCCTGGAGGGCAGGGATCATTTCTGTACCATGGCACACCTCCACCCTCTGTCTTTGCGGCTCAGGTGCCCTTGTGAAACAGCGGCCTGTGGGTCTGGCAGGGTTTTCCATCAGGTGGTGGCTGGCGGCATCCCCCGTTAGCCAAGCTGGTGATGGGAAAGCCTTGCTGGCTGGGTGCCATTTAACCCCGCAGGGATTAGAGACCCTGAGGAGGTGCGACCAGCATAGTGAAGTGGAGAAAAAAGCCTCAAATCAAGCAGGCATTCAGTAGCCCCAGTGACCTCTAATAAGTCTTTTTTTACTTTCGACTCTGTGGAGCCTTGGCGGGACCCCTGCGCGGCATGCTCCGGGCAGAGGGGGAGTGCTGGACTGTGCAAAGGTTGTCCTTTGCCTGTCCTGCCAAGTGCCCCTATAAATAGAGGGACACGTGCCACTGATTAATTGCCTGTCTGTGCAGGCAGCCAGCTCCCAAGGCAGACGCAGCCTTTGTCTGCTGGGAGCAGCAGCACTTGCCAGGAGAGAGGCCCCCTCTTCTCTGGAAAAGGGAAAAGAGGGAGAGATGAAAACGAAGTGCCCTGTCGCGCTAAGCAGAGGTCAGTCCTGATCGGAGACTTTTCCCCCTCGGAGGAGCAATCCCTCTCATGTCATTGCTGCAAACTGTGGTAGGGGACAGGGTAGCGTACGGCAGTGCACATGTGCCACGTGCATTGCACCCTGCCGCGGAGCTGGGCCCCGGTACAGCTGCTCAAAGCTGCCCAGATGTGGCTGCACCATCCCGGAGAGGGATGCAGGACCAGCGGACCCCATTGAGGGACAGCAAAAGCCCCAGGGGAGGAGGCTCACAACTGCGCTGCGGTGCAGGGCCAGCCTCCCACACCTGAGCTGGCAACGCAGAGGGGAAGGGAGGATGTTTTTAGAAAAGAGGAGCAGGAAAAGCCAGAAGGTGAAAGAGGGGAGAACAGGCAGTTCTTCCTCCCAGCTGGGCCCGGAATGCTTCCCATCTGGAGCAACCGGTTGTGACGTGGGTCCTAGGTCTTGCAGCTCGCTTCTTGTTCACGTCTGGGGTGTGGAGCCTGTGAGTTGCGGCTTTAACGTGCACCCTTCCCCTGTCACCTGTGGGCTCTGGCCTGGGACCTCCAAACCCTGTCCATCCCTCCTGGCCCTTGGAGGGAGGGTGCTGACGGTGCAGCTGGAGGCTGGCGAGGAGAGGTGTGATGCTGGGCTGTGGCTGGTGGGCGATGATCTACCCCATGGGCACGGGGAGGTTGACCCCCAGCTGCAAGGCAGCGCAGCAGCTCCTCTCCCATTCAGCCAGATAAGAATTCACAGCTCCAATTAAGCCTGTGCAAGGTCCCAAGGCAGGGCACAAAAAGCTGCAGGCATGTTAAATGCAAGAGGATGCAGGAGCCAAATCTACGAGGCGGTTGCCTGGAGTGGTTGTCAGAGGACGGCCAGAGAGGGGAGGGAGCCCTTAGCTCAAAGCTGGGAGGCAGGAGGCACTCGGCCATTAGAGCAGGTGGGAAGGTAGCGCCCTCTTGGCTGCTGCAGAGCCAGTTCTAAGTCACTTCAAGCTTCTGGTCTCCTGCAAGAGCTCCTGCAGCAAAGTTTCCCTTCCTCCTCCTCTTCCTCCATCACCTGCAGGGGCCAGGTGGGGCTGTTCCATTGTGTAGCTCTCCTGGGGCCAAGGGAACAATAAATAGCTCAGCTCTGAGCCTGGGAGCTGCCTTTCCCTGCCTGCCTGGTGCTGGGCCAGCCATGCCAGAGGGCCCCCAGCCCCGTGTCCTTGTTTTTCTCATCACTCGCACCGAGGACACGGAAAGGGAATTGATCAGCCTGAGCTGGCTGCGGGGGCTCTCCGCAGTCAGCTGCGGTTTCCCTGACCTGTGTCTCCTCTGTGCTGTTCCTAGGTGCGAAAGAGTATGCATTTCCCAGGAGTGAGAAGTACCCGGTCTTCTATCATAAAGAAAACAGCTCAGCCATCTACATCGGGGGAGAGGGAAAGCTTTATTACTACGACTTTGCAACCTATGAGAACTACGTGGTAAGGATGCTCTGCTAACAAGTTTAGCCCTGGAGCCCTATAAGAAAGTGTCCAGCATCCGTCTCACAGCCCAAACGCTTGCTACCTTGCTCAGTGTCTCTGCCAGCAGCGAAGTCAGGCCTGGAAGGGTCTGGTCTCTGCCCAGCCTGCCCCATCCGTCCGGGAAGGCGCAACGTCGGTATGATGAATGGCTGCAGCAAGGGGAAAGTCTCCTACACAAGCTGTGGGTGGGTTCTTCCCAGGCTGTGATCCTCCTGAGGTCTTTGCTGCCCCAAAGGGAGGATTTTTCCGGTGAGGGACCCTTTCTTTAGTGTGAGAAGGGGTGCTCAAACTCATGTCACTGGGGAGAAGCTATGTTCCCATCCCTTTCCATTGTCGGAGCCCAGGCTGCTTTTCCTCAAAAGCAGGACGTTCTGGATCAGCTGGGCACTGAGTTTTACAGCAGGAAAGCCCTCCAGTTGGCTTTCTCATGACCCCTTCTTGTCCTTCTCAAACAAGTCGGTTGCTGAAGTTTGGGCCCAGATACTTCCCTTCTTGTTCCCAGGAACAGTGTGGTTCATGTGTCTCAACCCTCGGACACCACCCACTGTTGAACCCCACTCCCCACAACGACAGACCCTCTCCCGAAACCCTTTGGAGAGCAGCCCAGGCTGGCTGCCAGTCATGCCTGCCATTTTGGCCCTGCATCCCCACTTCTCCCCATCCCCTCAAGGGCCTGAGAGGTCCAGCCCAGCCTCCCCCAGCCTTTTCAAACGCTGAGGTGGGGAAAAGGGCTGCGTTGTAGTGTTTAATGACCTTCTCACCAACGTGCTTGCTTTGCTTCTTGTGAAGAGAGTGGCTAGCATGTAGCGCATGGGGCTGAGCCCATGTCGGTTGGCTTTTAGAGGGAAGGAATTAAAGCGTATCTCTTTCTCTTTTATCCTAGGAAGACTTCCCAGTGAAAAATGAGGGACAGTGCATGATGCCTGGGAGTTTGGTAGGTCCTACCTGTGGTGGAACAGCATGTGGAACAGCTGGATGGGCGAGGGTTGGGGGACTGCTGGGGAAGGAACTGTGTATGCTCCTCACGTGCTCTCTCTGGGTGAAGACCTCCAGTGCCTGTGGAGCAGGAGATCAGATGAGATGATGCTAGTTTCCTCCTCTGGTTTTAAGACCCATGAAAAAGCTAGGAAGCCATATAGCAGTGTGCTTGGTAGTGCTGTGGGCTTGGAGCTGTGGGGCTGTGCTCTGCCATTCGCAGCTGCTCATGCTCCTCTTCTTTCTCTTGCAGAAGGACAATAAAAATTACCTCACGTTAGTGGAGAAGTATGGAGATGGGATGTTAGTGTGTGGGACCGGCGCCTGCGCTCCCACCTGCTGGAACATGGTATGCTGTGGCCGCCTGTGATGGGACCAGAGCAAAGCACTTGCTGTTTTGTTTTGTGCTATCTCCATCTGTAAAATGGTGCCCTGATCCCCCCTTCCTTCTCAGAGTGCTCTGAAATGCCCAAATGCCAGCTCCCTCGAGGAGCTTATCGTGACAGCATGGGACAGCCCGCACGATCAGAGGTCGGCATGGGCCACCTCCGTGCTCACTTGTCGTGGCCCCCCTCTCCTCACCTCCTGCCTGCAGCAGGGGCTCTGCCTGGCCCATTCGATGATGGGCTGCATCGTTCCCTCATTTGGGCTGTGCCAGCCAAGGAGAGCTGCTTTCCTCCTGCCCCAGGGGTGGATGTGGGCACCTGGCTCCCCTGCCTTCCCTGAACTGATCACGCTTAGGGACTATTTCTGTCCTTATCCAGACACAGAGAAAGGAGAGCACTTCGTGGGATGGGAGAGGTATTGCTCCTTTCACCCCTGACTCGAATACCCTCGTCGTCGTTGATGGTAAGTCTGACTGCTCCCATATTTTCAGTCGTAGTGCTGTGCAGGAAGGCTGGGCTCTCTGTAAAAAAAAGGGGCACCTTGAGGCTACTCCAAGGGCTTTGTCCCTCTGCTCTAGCTGGCGATCGGCCTTAAAGCTTCTTGCTTTTGCCTTATCAAAATGCACATCCTTGTAGGACAGAGCATGGCACAGGGTTGTTTATTCCTGTCCAGGGCACGGGGGTTGAGTCTCTGTGCAGGAGGGTAGAGTGCAATGGAAACAGCAGGGAAAGAGGGTCCTGCAGTAACTCCACTGCTCTGGACCTGGCAGAGGGACAGATATAGATCTTTCCCAAAGGTAGAGCAAGAATCTGTCCCTGCCACTCTTTAAGGAAAAGGACTGGGGGAATCCTGCCAGGCCTGCTCAGTCCTAGGCAGTGAGGACTGGGTTTCTTGACCTGTATCCACTGCCTCTGTGAGTCCATGTGCCCAGAGAGTTCTTGGTTCTTTGATTTCTTCTCACGAACCCTCCTGCCCCTCCAGAAACAGCCCGCTGCAAATAAGCCTTCCTATCCCACAGGTCATGACATCTACTCCACCATCAAGAAGAGCCAGCAGAACGGCAAGATACCCCGTTTCCGCCGAGTGAGAGGGGGTGGAGAGCTCTACACAAGTGACACAGTGATGCAGAGTAAGTACAGGGGAAATCCTGAAGGCGTGGGACCCGCCGCTTTGCCCCTCCAGGCAGATCAGCTGGACTCTTTGTCAGCCCACAACTGTGGGCCATAAGCACAGCTTGGAGGGGTACATCCTCTCTGCCCAGCTGGGGTGCAGCTCCAGAGCTTCTTGTTTGGGTTTGGTCACCCCTAGAGCTGAGCTGCGGAGAGGGCTGATCTAGTCCTCGTCCGCAATGCCAGCGAGGAGGGACCCAGCGGCTCCCTCCAGCTCTCTTGCTGGCAGCTGGGGGAATTTCACCTCTTTGCTTCTGGGAGAAAACAACTGACAAGTAAGTTCCTCTTGCTCAGGGTGAGGAGATGGGGAAATGGAGAGAAATGGGCGGCAAGTCCCCTGTCAGATGCTGGAAGGAAATACGGTTGTGTAAAGGTGCCCGTCAGCTGGTGGAAACAGGAAGAACAACTTCCACTCCGGGCAGTGACTCTTTCCAAATCCCCAGCCAGGGTGAGACCTTGAGGAGGAACATGTTGGGCTGTGCATGGGACAGGTGGGGAACAGAGAGGAAGGACCCTCCTCGGTTTCCATGAGCTTATTACGTTGCCTTCCCCCAAGCCTCCCCAGTGACACTGGGAAATGGGAGATTATTGAACCCCTGGCTGAAGAAAAAAATCAAATCAAAATGACACAAGGGCAAACCAGAACTTGTGCATGCAAGGGCAATGGAGGGGGCAACCAAGGCACCAGCAAACAAAACTGATAGACCCAGAGCCGCGAGGCTGATCCCCTGCTTACACAGAACTCCCTGCCATGGGGACGCCAGCTAACGATGCTCAGAGGGACCCTGCCGCTGCTGGGGATGCCCTTTATGGCAGTGATGTATTAATAGGAAGAGCATCATTGGGTTTTCCACGGCAAACACAAACAACAGTGCAGCTTGCTCCCACCGAGGGAGCCTTCCTCTACGATAATAGCTCCGCTGCGCAAGAAGGGAGAACAGGTTTCCTTTGCTGCTAAGCAGCCGAGGCTTCACCGGGCTCTGGGGACTTGCCCTTCAAGGGAACGGGTGCGTGGAGTTGGGCAGGGGGGAGAGGAAGGGGAACCCACTGGGAAGGTGGCACGTGAAGAGCGGTTGTTGGTGTAATGCACCGGTCCAGGTGTAGAGCATGGGCTCGGACCTGTCCTTTGCCGGGAGCACCCTCATCTTGTCTGAGGGTTAGTGGTTAGCTACAGAGCACGCTGGTTTGGTCCCCACTGGTGGCTTTTCAGATGAAACGTGTGTGTTCAGGCCAAGGTTTTCTGATGGCTCGCTTCCCTTTTCAGACCCGCAGTTTGTCAAAGCCACCACATTAAGGCACGAAGAGCCTCACCAGGACAAGATTTACTACTTCTTTCGTGAAGACAACCCGGATAAGAGTCCTGAGGCCCCTAGAAACATCTCTCGAGTGGCCCAGCTGTGTAAGGTACCACAGGAACAGTGTATGGTGGGGAGGCAAGAGTGTTACAGGGGTGGCAAATGGACGTGCCAGCTCATGTGGTGTTATCGGCATATGATTTGGCCCCTCTGGCTCAATTCTCTCCTCTGCCACAGAGTTCGTGTGGGATACGGCCATGTCCTTTGGCCTTCCCATCCTCTGGCTCCCATCTTGCCTGTAGGGGAGAGAAAGCCCTGTTCTGTCTCGCTGGGATGTTAGAGAGGTACATGATTGTTGCAGTAACCAGCATCAAGTACACCTCTGGAGCATCCCCCGGTTATCCATCCAAGATGCTGGGCAGGAGGGCACTTTGTGTTCTTCTCTGCCAAACCCTGACTCCCTTGCTTTCCCTCTCCCCCAGGAAGATAAAGGGGGAACCAGTTCGCTCTCTGCTTCCAAGTGGACCACCTTTCTGAAGGCCAGCTTGATTTGTGTCGACCCAGTCACCAAGGGCAACTTCAACTGGTTGCAAGATGTCTTCTTTGTCCCTGCGAGTAACTGGCGGCACTCCAAAGTCTACGGGCTCTTCACGAACACCTGGTGAGGGTCTTTGCAAAACGGGGGGATGTCCTGTCCCATGGGCCAAATCCTTTCTTTGAGCCCTTTAGTCTCTCTGGCAAGCACGTGGGTGGAAAACAGCCAGAGTGGACGCGGTCAGCGAAGGCGCGATGCACGCAGCCATGCCCCAGACGTAGGGGTGATGGCCAATGTCTCCCTGACCCTCTCTTTGTCTCGTTGTCCGCAGGGGAAGCTCTGCTGTTTGCGTCTATTCCTTTGGGGACATTGACAACGTGTTTCGGACATCCAAACTCAAAGGCTATAATGGTCCCAACCCAGAGATCAAGCCTGGGCAAGTGAGTGAGTGATAAAAGATGCCCACATGAAGTGGAGAGGCCTCCCGAGGCCAGGAGAGCAGGTCCCTGCTCTGCCACTGCAGTTGTTAGAGTAGCTGGGGCAGGTGAGGGGACGGTTCCGCCACTGAGCAGCCAGGTGAGAGCTGGGGCAGCGAGGAAGGTTGTAGGCACTGCAGGAAGGATCTGAGCTTTGTTGCCGGAAACAAAAGGAGGCTGGATAAGGTCCAATGCCTTCAGAGAAAGCAAGGGGAGACAGGCTCTTACGTGCCTCAGCAAACAGGTCTGTGAGCTCTCGTGTGTGAGGCTGGAGGACAATGTCTTGCCTTGTGTTTGCTAACCCTGCGGGTTTCGCCGAGCCAACCTGCAGCCCAGCCCTGCGGTTACAGGTGCATCACTGACCTGGCAGCAAACAGCAGGGTGGGGGGAGGCTCTGGGGCGGTGACAGGGCGTGAGTCTCCTGAACTGCAACTTCTGCAGGGGAGATCGCTGGTAGGACCTGGCACAAGCACAATCACAGCAGCCCCAGGGCTTGTGTTTACACCCAGGGCAGGCTTGTGCGCGTGCCTGGGTATCCTTCTCGGGGCTGAGATACCCATGCTGTGCCCTGCCTTGCTCTCCTGCCCTCGAGCCTCATCCTCAGGGACCTGTCTGACTCTGACGGTGGCTTTTGTCCCCTCTTGCCGCAGTGCGTTTCCTCTGGACAGCACACCCCGAGCGAGACCTTCAAGATAGCGGACAGCCACCCGGAGGTGGAGGACCGGGTGGAGCCCCTCTCCCCCACCAAGAGCCCCTTATTCCACAACAAGCACCGCTACCAGAAGATCGGGGTGCACGAGGTCTCTGCGGGTGATGGAAACCGCTACAACGTGCTGTATCTGGCAACAGGTACTGGGAACCATTCCCTCTGGAGTTCTCCGGAGTTTGCTTTCCCCTCGAGGGCAGGGAACCCAAGGGAAGCAGACGAGACCCCCAGTGCAGAGGGAAGCAGGGGGCTGTGTTCCCAGCTTGGCATATGTTTGTCAAGCAGAAAAGAGCTGCCAAGTCCCAGTACAGCTAAACACATCCCATTTGGCTGCATAGGCGAAGACAGGCTGAAAGCAGAATCCCAGCACGTGGGATTTTACCCAGTTGGGCTGCTTCAGCCTGTGGTCTCAGGCCAAGTGTTTTTAGGACGAGGGAGGGGTAGCACAGCTCTCCCCACGTGCAGCTTTACACTGTCAAGCAGAAATCCTTTGCCAAGGGACCCACTCTGTCATCTCCTGTCCCCGCTCGCTCTAGTGCAGCAGTGCAGACTCCCTCCGAGGCCAGGACCTCTGGCTGGAGACGCAGCCAGCTGATCACAGCTGCCGGTGGTCCTGGGGCAGCCGGAGATGCTGCGGAGCTGGGCCAAGGCAATTCGGCTGCAGGTGAACGGGATGGAGAGCAAAAGGTTGGCCAGCTCAGCCAGGTGGCTTGCCTGGGTTCCCACGCAGTGCAGCTACTCGCTGCTCAGAAGGTGCAAAGGTCCCTAACCCAGCGCTTCCCTTTCTCGCCTGCTTGCTCCCTGCAGCTGTGCTCACCCCTTTTTCTGCACTGTGCTGGCATTTGTTCACTGGAACTTGTGGAGGGACTTTCTGGGGCTTTTGTTTCCTAATCTGTGATTAAAAAAATGCAAACGGCTCTCAGTAGGTGGCCTGGGTTGGATTAGGGCCCACGCACGCTCAGATCAGATTGTTCTTATCTTGCAAAAGCCGTAGCTTAAATGCAGCTAACGCCTTGCAGAGTCCCGCCAGGGAGCTTGCTCCAGGATGCAGGGCTTGGCAGGGCAGCTGCCCACCCTCGCTGGGGCGGGCGCGGAGGCAAGGGCCAGCACCTGGCGGGTCCTAATCCCTGCCTGACCTGTGGTCACATCTTTCACCTCCCCCTGGTTGATGGTGGAGAAAGGAGCGACTACTTGGGAAGGGGAAAACATGCAAGTACTAAAAGAGGGTAAACAATGAGGACTCCTGAGCCCTGTTCCCTCAGGATCTGCCTTTCCACCCCTCCACCAAACTGACTCATTTTCTTAAATCACCAGTTTGGAGTCGTTTAGCTGGGGAGGGGAGTCAGTTTAGTTAGAAAAACAGAAAGGCAAAACCCCAAGTTTCAGCCTCAGGCGAGCGGTGAGATGAGGCTCACGCAAGAACAGGCCAGTGATCAAAGCAGAGCGGAGCTCGAGAGCGGTTGGTTTTTCTTGCTGAGGCTGTTACAGGCGCAGCTGATCAAAGCAGGCACAGCCGAGTCCCGAAGGGCAATGGGGAAATGGGTTCCTCGTGGCTCTTGGCTGGGAGGATGACAAGGCTCTGCTGTGGGAAACACTACTGTCTGGGGGACGATTTCCCAGCAGAGCAAGCAGGCTCCTTCTGAGAAAGGTCCTGTCTTCTCTGGGCGGCTGGTTTCAGGAATCCAGTCGAGCCTGGCTCTGCAGAGTGGGTATTGTCTGCCACAGGGAGGGCTGGAGGCAGAGCTGGTTCTCTGCCTGGCTTCCCCACCCCTGCCTGCAGCCCCTCTGCCTTACCTTTCTGCTCTCAGCAGGCTTCATCAGGGCTCTCCCCTCTTTCTTTCCAGACAAGGGATCCATCCACAAGATCGTGGAGCTGCCGGACGGGGTGCAGAACATCATGGAGCTCCAGGTCTTCCCAAAGAAGGATCCGATCCAGTCTATGATCCTGGACCACAAGAGGGTGGGTCTCCGCCTGCTCCATAGAAAGGAAAACAGTGGGTCGGGCTGTAGCTTTAAAAGCAGGCAGCAGGGGAGGCAGGGACAGATGGTTTAATGACAGCCCCTGGATCTGGAAGTAGCCTCCGGGTGGGTTTGTGGGGGGGTCCCGCAGCGTGCTTTGCTAAATCCTAACAGCTGGGCTGATGTCCTCAGTCCTGGGTAACTCTCTGCATGGTCAGTGGGCAACGGAGCTTTTTGGACACCTCCTCCCCTCTGGAGGCGAGGGAAGAACGAGGCTGTTTGCTCCCTGGGCCAAATCCCAGCACAGTGTTCCCTTCCCTCTGCAGTTTCCCTCTCGTTGTCCAGCCTTGCTGGCAGATGAGCTGTCAGACAGCGCTGGTGCTCCATCCCGGAGGTGACAACGCTGCTGCCACTGATGGAACAAACTTATTTATACACAGGGCTGGTGGGGGAAGGATGGCTGCTTCCCCTGCATTGCAGGGGACATACGACTGCATTGCCCGGAGACCTACCAGCCCCGCTGGTGAAATCCACCCCATCATCACAGTGAAGCTGCAGGAGAAGTGCTAGACACTCGTAAGGTGGCACTGGGACACGGTGCCGAGATGATCAGCCCCTCTGCTTCCCTCCTGCAGGCGATGCTGTACGTCGGCTCAACAAACAAAGTCATGGAGATACCCATGGACATGTGCAGCGTGTATCGCAACAACTGTGACAGCTGCTTGCTGGCGAGGGACCCGTACTGCGGGTGGTTCAATGGGAGTTGTCAGTCAGTTTATCTAAACCGGTACGTGGCACCGACAGCTTGCTGTTTCTCCATCACCTTCAGCCGGTTGCTTTCATGTGAGAAATACCCAGACCCTCAGTATTCCCCTTCCTGGCCAGGGATGCACGTGGTTTTGAGGCCATCTTCCCATCGCAGAGAGGGATGAGCCCATCGTGTCCAGGCAGTAACAGCGCAGACGTCTGTGCCGTCCCCAAAAACTGTGCCTCTGCAGGGATCCGTCCCTCCCGCAGCACCCCTGCTCCGGGGAGGGAGAGGTCAATGGGTTTTGAGCACCCAGCCCGTCTTTTGCTGTTAGAAATGTGTGTCGCCCTGCTGGTTGTGATGCTGTTTAAAGCAGTTGATTGTGGTGAGCTGCTGGGTCTCGTGTTTGTCTTCCACCAACCTCCTAAGTGGGAGTGTGGGGTGTGTTTTTCCCTACCCAGGTAATAGCAGGTGTTTAAACTTTCTTCCTTATCTGATCCACCGCATCTCGTATGGGCGATTCCTTTCCTAGCCCTGCAGCGCTGCTTCCCTGACGTTAGTGCTTTGTTAATGCTTGTTCCCATCTGCTAGGGAGGTACATCAGAACCTGAACCTGGACCCGTGGCGAGGAAAGTGCCAAAAGGGGGATATTAAGGAAGGTATGTAAAGGTTTTGAGCTGTAGGCCATTTATCCAGGGGGTGTTTGGGGCAGGGTGACTGATTCTCAGGTCTTTGTACGGGCTGTGCCGGGTGTTGCAACTCATTGCTGGGGAACTGGGAATGACCATGCTGAGACCAAGACAGCAAGCAAGTCTCAGCTTGGAGTTAATCGCTAGATAATGTATTTCTGAGCTGGCTGAGAGGGCTCAAACTCTGTTTGCTGATGTCCAGGGAGAAGAGTCCCATGGACTTCACCAGGCGCGGGTCAGGCCCTGCCCTTGTCGTTAAATGGCCGTGTAACATGTCCCCATCGACCCCAACTGTTCTTCCCTCCAGACTTGTGGGGGAATCGGTGGTTCCTGGAGATGCCTGTCTCATCCCCCCCCCCTTCTCAATCTCTTCCAGTAGATGACTATCAGAACATCACAGTCGTCCCTTTCTCCCGCTACTACCTCAACTGTCCCATCGAGTCCCACTATGCCACCTACAACTGGTACCACAACAACAGCCTCATCAAGACCTGCAACACCACCCACCCCCAGCAGGACTGCTTCCACTTCATCCAGAACGTGAGCCACATTCACTACGGCCACTATGTCTGCATCTCGGAGGAGGACGGCTTCAAGCAGGCTCTGGTGAAGGAGCGCCTGGTGAACCAGCTCAGGTTCATGTCCCAGAAGGGCCAGGCCACCATGACGTTTGGCTCTTGGCTGCAGCTGCTCCTGATGGTGGTGTTGGTGGAGCTCTTCCACTGAACACGACAGGACTGTGTTCCCACCGTCCTGGCTGCCGCTGCTCTTCCTGCACTTGCTGTCCGCTCCCGAGGCGAGATCCCCATTCTCTTAGTCGCTCCTTGGACGTTAATCTTTGACTGTCCCAAAAGGGGTCCCGGGCAGCAACCCCTCCATCTTTGGCCTTGGTGGAAGGATCATGGCGAGGAAGATGCGACTGCAGGGCCAGATGGAGCGGGGTTTGGGGGCAGGGAGGGAAGGGTACCCTAACACGCGGGGGACGTTCACAGTACCCAGCAGCGTGAAGGGAGTGGCGTCAGCCTCTCCTCGAGCCCACGCTGGTAGCTCTGTACTGAATATCGTCCTGAGCCTACCCTGGGTGCGGATGTTCAGGGGACTTCTGCCGATGTGCATGCACTGATCCTCAGGGCACAATGACTCCTCTCTTTGGGAACGTGCATGTGATGAAGAGGAGGAGCCAGCCCTTGGCCTTTCTAACTGGTTGATCTGTGCTTCGCTCCGAGCGGGGACTGATGCCTCCAAGTTCTTAGTGGCTAATGTCTGTTTGGGTTGGCGAGCAGCTGGAATGCTCCCAGTGTCACACGAGGGTCCCGTTCTGGTCTGGAGAATTGGGCTCTGGAAGGGTTTTAGGGTTTGGTTTATTATTTTTATTTACAGCTGGCTTTGACATGGGAGGGAGGTCGGGAACTAGTGTTGGAAACCTGCAGGCAAGGGCAGGCACAAAGTTAGCGTTTTGCATGGAAAAGCCTCGGAGGATGACTAGATTTGGGGCGTGGGGAAGGAAGACGGAAGGGGAGGCGGAAGCAGAGCCCAAACCAAACCCGGGAGGCCCTGGGATGGAGTTTTAAATGCACAAATCCTCTGCAGGCAGCTAAGGGCATTTATCTGTGGGCAGCAGGCAGCCCCTGCTCCCAGCACCTCTCCTCCGGGAGAGGGACCGGGCTTCCTCAGGGAAAGAGGCGGCAGGCTGTTGATCTCAGGGCGATGCCGACGGGCTCAGGGGCGCTGGGGCTTGTCCCCACCGCCCGGAGCAGATCTGCCTCTCTCCCTTGCAGTGAGGGGACAGGGGAGGACCAGGGTTTGCTTCCCTTGGGCTTTGAGGTCTCTGAGCAAGACTAAACTGTGAAAAACGGGATGCTCTCCCCGTGCCTGTGTGCAAGGGGTGATCCCACACCTTGTCCAAGCCTTTCCCAGCCCTCTTGACCGCCGAAACGCCCGGCCTCGGGCCGTGCAACGGAGGGGGCATCGTATCTCATGCTTCCAGTAACCTGTCACAGCGGCACAGCTCCTGCTTCGTGCCTGCTCGGAGACACTCAGGAGTGCCCGAGGGGTCTTTTTGGCAAGGGGGAGAGATGCCACGTGCATCTCGCGACCGCAGACTACGGACAACAGGCCAGAACTTCCTACTGCACTACATTTCCAAGAACCCCCCCCTCCCAAATCTAGGATAGAGCTTCTTACATCCCTTCTCAAAGCACTTTAACTTTGTGAACTAACAAATACCTATTTATTATCAACTGGTGATTACTGTACTTGTATAATTTTATAATATTATAGAAAGTGGGTTCAAATTAGAGAAGAGAAAAAACAAACAACACAACAGCTACCAAAAAAACCTTTCAGAGCTGTGACCAAAGTGAGAATGTGATCGTTGAAATAAAGAATGGAAAAGAGCGGGCGAGTGCTGGGTTTGTCACCGGGAGCCGAGGGATGCTGCTGCGGCGGTGGCTGGGGTCTCCCCTGTCCCTCTTTGCCCACGATCAAGGGGATCCCCCCACCCTCCTCCATGTCCTACCTGCCTCTCCTCTCCAGCAGCAGCCCCAGCCCAGTGCCAGGCCACCCCTCGTGCCCTGGGCTCGCTGCTCCCGCTTCAGGCTGGCACCATCGGGAGCAAGAAGCCGGGCCAATTCCCACTGGAGAATCCCAAGGCGGGTGTTAGCAGCAACTCCGCTCATCACCACCCACTGCCTGCGGAAAGCGAGGGATATAAATAGTGGCGGCGGGTCCTTGTGGGCGCGCGGAGCCGTCCTGGCACCTTCTGCCTGCGGCTCTGCCGCTCGCCGGGAGCCGGGGCAGGCATCGCGATGCTCCCGCGCATCCTTGGCTTTGACGTCGGGAACGGCTTTTAGGAGGGCGCGCGCGCGGGCTGCCTGGCTGACAGCCCGTGAAACGGAGCGGTGCTGAAGGAAGGCCAGGCCAGGGATGGAGGGAAGCAGGGAATAGGAATTCAAGCTTTAAAAACGTGCCAACAAAAGCAGGAGGGAACAATAGCCTCCCCCTCTCTTTCGAACCCTCCATCAAAGCACTTCGGCACAAAGGCAAAACCGGTTGCAGAGCCCAGCAGACCTGTCGCAGCGCTCGTTCCCCTTTTGCAGGGCTTTCAAAGGGTCCCGGCTTTGTCTAAACCCGTGCCCAGGTGCCTTTCTGTGCGCTATTCTTAGTGCTTGCTGCTGGGCCTGTTCCTGCAGGTAGTGTGGGAAAATATTTGGGCACTGGTGGTTGGGTAGGAGCCCCCCGAGCTCCAGCCCCAGTTCGCAGCGATGCACCGGCGAGCTCCTTTTGCAAAGCATCGGAGGCGATGGGGGACCAGCCGGGGGGCACAGGGACGGCGGTGACGGGCACCTCTGTCCCCTGGGACCTGTGCTAGACGTCCCGACCAAGGATTTGCAGGAGAGTTTTGCAGGTCCCTGATCTGCGGGGTGGGGTTAGGCAGCCGAAAGCAAAAGCCTCCCCTGCCGTGTTTCTTTCTTAGCACTGGGTTTGGCAGAAAACTTGGCGCCGGCAGCATATGCGGTAGCGGCATCTTGACGTAAAGAAAGAGAAACAGGACCGAAAGGCAGGCAGGTTTCAGCGGCGCTAAAACAAGAAGCTGGCAGCCCCCCCCTCCACGGTGGGAGGAGGCGGGGAGCTCGCCCAGGCCGGGAAGGGAGAGAAACCCGGCACCCAGGCGTTATCGCTCGGGTGCTGTATGCGGACGCCGAGATGTTTGCGTTTCCAGCTCTATTGCTGCCAAGCATTGGATTACCAAAGCTCTAAAAACTGTCGCTAAACCCCCAAACACCGAAGTGTTTCGCAGTGCCCTGGGAAGAGGCGAGCGGGAGGGCTGGGAGCGGCAACGCTGCAACCCCCTGGGAGCAGGTGGGAAGCGATGAGCTGGGGCCGTGCGGGGCGCAGGGCTGCGATAACGCCGTTTTGGCTGCCTGGGCTTGGTTTTCTTGCCCAAGAAGCAGGCTGGGAGCACGGGACCGAGCGCCACAGGGACGGCCCTGGGTCCCTGGATAACATAGAGACCCCACAGACCCGCGTAGGGGCTGCAGCAGCATCTCCTTCCCCAGCCCAGCCCTTGTCCCCGCTCCCTGGGGACAGCCAGGACAAAAGACGGAGCCTTTTGCTAAATTTCCTGAGAAAAGCAGCAAAGACCGACCATTTCAGGCTGTGTTTTATGCTGGGCCGCATTTCCCCTGGCCGCCAGCTGTTTCCTATGAATACAATGAACCGAAAACTATGGGGCTGCTGAGCAAATACATGCGCCGAGATTTATTGTGGACTTCAGGGGAAAAGGCATGCGTGGGGAGGGGAAAGCCGAGGCGTCGCCCCCCTCACCCCGACTGCGGCCACATTGTTCGAGCGAGTTATTTTGGGAGCCTTGTTTGAGTGGGAACGGGCACGCACACGCCTGAAACAAAAGCTTCGAGAGCATTTGATTTTTCCCAGTGCCGTTTTTGGGGGCTATTTCTGCCTCCAGCCTCGCCAGCGGCCTTGGAGGCTGCTCTGGGAGGAGGGTTTGCTGGGCAGGACAATAGACCCAGGAAATCCTGTATCCGCCCCAGTCGGATCCAAGAGCTGGTGAGAAATCCCACAGTGGCTGCCTGCTTGCTCCGTGCAAGCACCCGGGGTATGCACTGACTGTAGGCTCACCCGAGATGCCGTCTCCAGCCATAGCATCCCCCTGGGCAGCCTTTCCTGGCGGGATAGGGGTACAGAGCAACCCCGGAAGGAGCCGGCGGGAGCTCGGAACTGGGATGCCCCGACGGGCACCCCTGGTTTCACGGGAGCTGGGATCCCAGGGATGGAGAGGTGCTGCCACACCGGGGCAACAACTTCCATCCTCCCTGTTGACCAGCCTGAGCCCGCTCCCGGCGTTTTTCTTATCTTGCACCTTATCTTGGGGTCAGCCTGTCCAGCACACGCTGCCCTTCCCGGCCACACCTGAGCTGCGGTTAGAGCTGGAGCCGGCCCAGCGGCACTCCCACACGCCATCACCCCCGGGCCAGCTCTCCCATGGGTGTCCTACCCATCCTGCCCGTCCCGCCTGACGTGGCCGGTGTCACCGCCTGCTTCCCCCGGGACAGGCTGGCAAAGGGGAACCATAAACTGAGTTCACGTGTCTGGATCGGGTGACCGAAACCATGCTGCCCACCCGGCTCGCTGCCAGCTGCCTTCACCCCTCGCTCCTCTTCGTCCAACCTGTTTTTCCCATCGGTGATGTGGCAGCTCTGTTTGCACAGGGTCTTTGCTGCCCTGCAGCTATTTCCCCCTTTTCCCTGAGGATCTCGGGATTTAACCAGCCTTGGGCAGGTGTCTGTCTGTCTGTCTGTCTGTCTGTCTGTGCACGGCTCTGGGCTCCTTTTGCCCGTCGTCCACGCCGGGGCATGGGGGATGTGGCGTGGGTGATGCTACGCCACCAAGGAAGGTCGGGGCAGGCTGCGGCGAGCGATGCGAGTGGGAAATCCAGCCGCTTACTAGAAATGAGATGACCCAGGAGATTCTGGAGGAAGTTAAACCCGCGATAAACCAGCGTGCCTTCGCCTCATGTGGCCACGTTCCTCCTCCCCGCAGCCACACACATGAAAGCTTTCCTCTCCAGCCATGAATTTCCACCCCGAGATCCCGGAGGGGTGATCACGGCCAAAGGACGCGTCCCATCGGGCTGAGATACCCCATCCCAGCTCAATGGAGACCCCAAAAGCCAGGCATCAGCCCGGCAATTTTTAGGTCCGGGACTGCACGCAATAAATTAGTAAGAGGAGATTCAGTTTAATGGAGCGGGACAATAAAAACAAGCTAGACTCGCCCCTGTTTCAGATTAAAGCTTGTCCTGGCTGGGTCCGTCCTCCCGATGAGATGCTCTGGGTGCCCCCGGCAGCTCCTCGAGCATCACGCGCTCAGCCCCGAGTGCCTCAGGGATGCTGCCCAACACGCGCCGGGTCATCCCCTTCTCTCTGCTCCCGGGGGAAACCCTCCAGCAAGAAGAACTGCTTGATCATGGCTACGGTCTGTCTGCAGCTGAAAGTTTTCTCTTTTTCAGCTTAATACTATGAAAATGAGGTTTTCCCCCTCCCCTCCAGCCCTGAACTGAATCACAGGGGGTTTCTGGGCAGGAGTTTTACTACTGAAATTTTCCCAACCACCTGCTCGTGGGCAGGAGCTGAAAGCTTGCAATGAATGGATTCGCTCATGCGGAGAGCGGGGAAGACCCCGGGATGAAATCACTGCAGAAAAGAAAAGAGCTTGTTGGAAAATACATGAAAAACACCGTCCTTCCCAAGGGACGAGTGTGATCGGCGGGGAGCTGAGCAGCGTCCGTCCACATATGGATGCGGGCTGTATTTTTAAGGTAAGAAAGCAACGCAGTCAGCTCCATGCCCTTTTTCCAACCGCCAATTTCACGCCTGCTCTGCTCCGCTCTCCATCCCAGTGATGTGATGCAGTCACTTTATTCTGCCCCCCGCAAAACGGATCCAGCATCACCCTGGCTGAAGTCAGCCCCATCCCGGCCGGTTCCCATCGGCTCGGGGAGGGGGGGCAGAGGTGTCTGCAGCGGTGTAGAAAGGATGAGCTGCTCTGCCAAGACACCTTCCCTCGTCTAAACCACTGCAGTCTTGGCATTCCGAGCCCCAGGTGCCTGAGGGATGAGGTCGAGGAGGGGGATTTTCCAGGGAGGTTGGGGTTTCGCTGGGGCTGGGGCTGCGGCGCTGGCTCAGTGACGTTTCCTGCTGCGGAGCAGAAAGCCCAGGGGTTTCTCAGCAGCCTCCCAGAGGTGTGATTTACCGGGGGAAGGTGTGAAGGGGCTGGGCAGCTAGTCACCCTGCTCGCTCGGGAGGTGATACACACCCGGAAAGCCCCACGGGTGGAAAGCGAGACCCTGACGCCCACTGATGCCACCTCTCAGTAGCAGGAAACCTGGCTGGAAGGACCCTCCTTGTCCCCAGCGTAGGTGGCACGGGGAGAAGGAAGGGGAGAGACTCTCTGTTTCGGCTCATCCAAAAATAGTAAGGAATACACATGAGTCATGTGGGCTTCGTGGGCGAGCTGCTGCCTGCGGAGGCGGGGGAAACGCCTCCTCCCATCCACATGCCGCCTGCTTTGCTCATGACGGATGAGGCCATCAGCAAAAGCAGTCAGAGCCCCGTCCCCGCTGCCATTTCTGCTGGCTGGGGAAAGAGTGATGCTGTGGGTTTCCGAGCACCTCCCCGACCCGTTTCCTGGCCCCCCACCTTTCCATCAGAGCCCCCCCCAACCACACGGGTTCCTGTGCCCACCGCGGCAGCCGGCGGTTTCCTCTGCGAACAACGTGTTCGGGGGTTGTCGGAGAGGGGGGACAAACCGTCGCGTTTCCTTCACGCTGCAGGGGTGGCAACACCGTTGGGGAGGTGTCTGG